CGTGCGACACAGCCACCACAACATCATCATCATATACGGATGGATGATTTGTTTTATATCCTAGCAACTTAGTAACCGTGGCATACCACGGAAAGGGAGATGAGTCACTGATATAATGTATGGGAATAGAAAAAGAAAGACGGAAAAGCATGGGAAATAAGAGGACACGGATGGAAAAGGAACAGAAAAACGGGACCAAAGCGTCGGGAGAGATGAGAGTGTTGACGCTGCTCCACGGAGCAGTCTGTTTTTATCGGAGGCGAGGAGATGGGAGAGATTCAGAGTGGGGGGGGGGGGGGGGCACACAGAAGTCGCGTAATTTTACAGGAAACTCGAGCTGATTTAGGGATAGATATAGAGATGCGCTGAAAAGCGTGCAAAGGAGCGTGGAATACTGCAAAATCAGTTTGACCGGCACGTGACGAACGTCGAACATCTTCCTCGCGGGGTGTGTGTGAGAAAGTGCATCGCCTCTCGGAGCACGGATAGACGATGTCACTGGACAGGCACTCATAAAGTAGTTCTGTGTTATATTGTTGTCAGCAGGCTGGCTCTAACCGAGGGTTAATCTGTTACACCAATAGCAGAACTGGAATAAAAGTGGATGCGATTATAAATAGTAGGGGCTCTGATTAATTACCAAAGATTGCTCGAGGGCAATGTCACGCACCACGGAATCAGCCGATGGTGTAGATTCCTGTCAAAATGAAACCCAGCCGATTAATTCATCGACATCTGCACATGGCTCACATACCAACCTGCGTCACCAAACACGGGGATCAGATGGCATGCGAACATCGCAGACGAAGTAGACATGGAGATAGAGGCTGAGAGCTTAATTACAGAATGATCTGCATATAAAACAGCAATGAATGATTGGCCAACTCGTTGTCAAGGCTGGGCTGCTGGATAATTTGCTAAGCGCAGCTGGAGGGCATGCCTACTAAACCGGTCCTGCATAAAGTGATCTATATAAAGGCACCACACTGATGTCTAACGACGCTCTTAGTTTCTTCCCAATAAGCTGATTGAATGTTGTGAAAGCGATGGCGCTGCATCTTGAAGAACAGAGAATGGTTGAAGATTCCAAAAATCTGTGGCACACACACACACATATCGTCTATTCCAGGAGTTATTTAAGCAAATGGGGAAATGATTTACAAATCTCATGTCATTAAACATTTCGTGAAATGCAGAGTGAAGGCCGCAAATCCGTGGTTGTATAATGACACCCATTGATTTGTCAGGCACCTTTCAGGCGGATCAGCCTCTGCGCAGGGCTGGATTCAGTTTGATGGGACTAGTTGTTGGGGTCCCTCCTTTGGATGTTAGTTTGCTTTATTATACTGTTTCACCATCACCATCGTTATTCATCTTGGCTATTTCTATTCTAGTTTTTTTATCTGATGTGCGGGTTGGGAAGCAAAACCAAAGTGAAAGCGAACCCAACCATTTCAATTTCGGCTCGTAGCCAACAATGATGCGGTTTGCTTTAAGTACCAACACTGTATATACCTATAGACTTTATTCAAGCATTGGAAATATATTGGAGGGTGTGCAGTAAAATCCGAGGCTTCCTCAAAGCCCTCTGGCCTTGTGCGTTGAACTTCGTTAGCACCGTACGTAGCCAACCCTCCAGAATCCGATTTCAACGTGGAACATTCACCCTACGAGGAGGAAAATCCCCACATTCAATCACAGGACACGTATGATTCACGGAGCCTAGAAGCCGATGAACGTGCGCATTTTAATCCTTCGTGGTTCACGTTGCACAAAGTCTCAGTGCGTAACCGCGCCGATCGACGAAGCGAGCCCGACGCTGCAGGTGGTTTCATTAGCGCCGCCTTCTGTGTAGTTAGCGCCAGATGCCGCGTGCGACGAGGGGCGAAAATCCGCTTTTATTAATGCCCCATTACGATTCCACGTGCGTCGCCGGGTTCGTCAGCGGCGCGCGTGCAGCCGCACAGGTGCCCGCCGCTCGGCTAGATGGAGTGGCTGCGTGGGGCTCCTTTGACTCCACTCGCTCATCGCAGAGGTTCAATGATAAGGATGGATATTCCGAACAAAAAGTTTTTGCGGGCTCGGAGATAGAGAGAGGGACGGACGGTCACGTTATCAGTTGATATCTTATATATGTTAGATCCATTGCGAATACATTTGTGAGTATATGAACGGGCCTAATGGTGATAATAACGGGAGTGAAAGAGGAACACGTGGATCAGAGAACAAACGCAGGTACAAAACAGTCGCACGGGGTTTCAGTTGCGTTGTTTGAAACGTCGCTTTCGAGGCCTGCTCCGTTTTCTGTTGCCGTTGTTCTTGTTCTGACAGGCGTCCTCGTCAATTACAGAATTGATATTTGAACGTACACGGATGGATAAAGGTAGGGGCAGGTCGTTCAAAGGGATGACGGCAGAGGGTCAAGAGAGAGTATTGACGGGAGAGGCAGCCAAAGAAAGGAATCCGTGGTCCACTGAGGACATGGATCAATGAAATCAGCTCGCGTGCATGTGCTATGTGGATTATTGTATCGCAGAATCATTCAATCAGCAGTGGATTGACCGATGATGATTATGATGCTGCATGATATTGACCTAGAAAAGCTTCAGTGCGTATCAAGACTCATTTCTGAGTAGGCTGCTCATGCACTTGGATGTTTGGCCAATTATTTTAATGATGAGTGCCTGGCTCCACGTGCGAGCAATCTCAAGGACCTGGAGACAACCACACCTCGCTGGATACGAGGGGAACACTCACAGCTCGGCATAGACCGCGTGGGCGGGTTGTTAGCGCCTGCTGCTGTATGTTTGGAGTTTGCGTGGTCTCTCTCTCCCCGTGCTCGTGTGAATTTTTCTCCGGGTCCTCCGGTTTTCCCCTCGACATTTGGAATCAACGTCGCTGGTTTAGAGGAGTTGGCCACTGCTCTACATTTCCACGTGATAAGCCACTTTGTTGAGCAATCATTTGTGATTGCCAGGTCGCTTCTGAAAAAGAGCTATATAACTAAAATGGGTCTTAACTGGTAAAATTAAAAAAATATCTCCTAGCCATCTCCGTTTAGCACGGTTGGTTACGTACGGTGCGAAAGAAGTTCTACATACAGTACATATAAAGGCTGAGCGAAAGTCTACAACACAATTGTTACAGTACAGTATTCCCAGGTATCACTCCCATCCAAAGTGCTAGCCACGCTTAGTCCTGCTTAGCAAACTAAAACCAACACTGTTGATGTATGAAGCGTATCAATGCAACACGCTGTGAGCAATATTGAACACAATCTAATCGCAGGTTAAATTTCGATTTAAAGCTTTCGTGGCTGCAGGGATTCATCTTCTTGGTTGTTTCGGTAAAGTCACGTAGAATGGAAATGATAAAATAATAAAAATAAAACATAATAAAATAATTCTCACGGTCTTCACCTGAGGACGGCTGCTTGCGTTGTGGTCGAAACGTCGTGAGAATTATTTTATTATGTTTTATTTTTATTAATTTATTATTTCCCTTCTACGTGACTTTACCGAAAGAACCAAGAAGAATAATCGCAGGTTGGCAATACTGCAACACACATCAATCTTTAGTCGTCTGTGGGTTTTTATTTTGGAAGTGGATAAAGTGCAATGCGTAAGTGGCAAATGTTGTGTGAATGTTTACGTAGCTGGTTCGTGAGTTAATGTGTGAATGTTGTGTATGCGAATGTGTTCGGTGACTGCCACGTGTATGTGCATTGCGCGTGACAGTTAAACGCGTGTGTGTGTGAATATATTTCACATGGCGAGTGCTCTGTCGGAACGGGTATATGGCAGGTGAGCCATTGCATGTCTGCCTTGTACCACATTAGCCAAAGCGTTGCGTGTGCGCGCTTGTATCCCTTCTGTGCGTATGCATGTTGAACTTCTTTCGCACCGTACGTAGCAAACCGTTCTAATCGAAGGTGCGATGAGCACTGTTGGCTTACTTGATTCGACTTGCGAAAGCAGCACGGTTGGCTAATGGCATGCCTTCCCGTGTCCTTATTTAGTTTCTCCCGAGCAAGCGTTCCTGTGTGTGTATTTCATAAATCTCCATCGCTGTCATCACCATCGTCATCGTCGTCGTCACTAAAGACAACGTAGTCGTGACAAGGCGCGGTTTCGTTTGACGGCGACGATGGTAGTGGTGGTGCTGCACAAGTTAACGATGGTGATGATTGTAGTGGTGGTGGTGCTGCACGTGTTGACGATGGTGATGATGATGATGGTAGTGCTGCACGTGTTGACGATGGTGATGATGATGATGGTAGTGGTGGTGCTGCACATGTTGACGATGGTGATGATGGTAGTGGTGGTGCTGCACGCGTTGACGATGATGGTGATATTCTTAGGTTTTTTCGGTAAAGTCACGTAGGTAAAACATCAAAATTAATAAAAATAAAATAAAATAAAGATCACGATGATGGTGGTGCTGCACGTGTTGACGATAGTGACGATGATGATGGTAGTGGTGGTACTGCACATGTTGACAATGACGATGATGGTGGTACTGGTGGTGCTGCACGTGTTGACGACGGTGATGATGATGATGATCTTCGGGTGGAGCGCGCAGCCAATGGCTCGTCGCTCTGCAAGGCGGCGCTGGCGCTGCTGTTGGACGCTTCGCTGCATACCCCGATCCCTCCTCCTCGCTCCCCCTCCCTCTCCCCTCCCACAGCTCTCAGCCTCTCCCCCAGCAGCCCCAATGTAAAAGCGAGAGGCGCCACCGCCAGCGAGCCCCAACTCAGATGCGACACGTGCGGCGGGAAGCGGAGTGATGCTCGCGATGGTGATGATGATGGTGGTGATGCCTCTGGTCGCGTGGCTCCGTTGAGACTTCCATACCCCACCTCGATCTCCGCTCTTCTTCCAACCACCACCACCACCCACGTTCGCTGCCGATTTCACTTGGAGGTTTTGTCGTCTTTTTTTGGTTGTTGCTTTCGTCCGAAACAAAAGCGGAGGGTAACACGCACACACAGCGAGAGGTGACACGGACACCCCACCCCACCCCATCCCACCCCTCCTCTCTGCATCCCGACCCCCACCGCCCCATTGGGATGTCGAGTCCCTAACCTCTCGACATCCCCGTCGGGGGGCCGTTTGGTGGTTCCAACGGTGTCGGCTCAAGCAGCGGACGGGACGACGCTGCTCACGCTGACTCTGTCGCCGGGCCACGGGCCCTGCTCGCCGGGCGTGCGCAGGGCATCGTTCTGCGGGATCTCCTTTCACCTGCAGATCGGACTCACGCGAGAGCCCGTGACGCTGGAGACGAGCGAGCTGTCTCTGGGAGCCGTGCGAGAGCTGGCTTGCTCCGTGGCCGACCAGAAGGTAAGCGCGGTGGTGGTGGTGGATGGATAAGAGCATGTGCGCCAGGTGACAACAGGTTGTTGTTGGTGGTGGTGGTGTATAAGGTGGTTCCCAAGTTTGTTGGTCTTTGTATTTGGTTCTGCGGCGGTGGGGATTGCACTGGAACTAGCGAGGCAGGTTGGAGCGGTTTTGCGACTCTCTCTCTCCCTCTCTCTCTCTAAGATGGGTTATTGGGCTTGTGATGAGCGTGAGTTGGTTCGGTGTTCGACGTTTCGTTCCACGTGCCTGGGAGCTTCTTCACAAATCGATGATCCCAGCGCGTCGGACACACCGTGCCGAACAACACGCGGTACAATCCCAAAACGCTTCGCAGAGCTGGTTGATGTACGTTTCAGAACTTGTGGGTTTTTTTGATCGGCTTAATGCGGAGCGCGGATGCATATTAACTGTTCATACCCTCCCGCGCCCACGTGCCTGCGGGGCAGGTGTGGGCTGACAGGTTAATGACGACTGCAACCTCCGATTATCACGGTTGGCTTACGTGCGGTGCGAAAGAAGTTGAACATACGTACATTCCGGTGAAGAGAACGTTACGCACTCGATTGTGCCCTCCTCCTGGACACGAATGTCCACGTTTACCCGCATTCTCCACGAACGTTTCTCCACGATCGCACAGAGACTCAAGTCGCTACACACGCTGCACGCGCATGACTAATTTAAACAAACACAAATAGCCCCCCCGTGCAAAGAAGCGAGCCCTAAATCCGAGTAAGCGTCGTGCATGTGCTTGTGTGTGTCCGGGTGGGGAGCGGTGGTGTAGTCGTTTGCGTGCTGCGCTACTGACCCGAGTTCGAATCCCACTCACGGCCAACACCTTTGACGATCATCTAAAACGGTCATGGGCTCTCCCCTAGGTCGACTCGGCCTCAAATGAGTACCCGGTGCGGTGTGTAAACATGACCACTGGGGAGACAAAGGCGGCCGGGTGTGATGCTGGCCACCCACCCCCACCCCCTCGTGTGCCGTGCCGACCTTCATAGGTGCTCGCGAACAGCACTTGCCCCAACAGTATGTTAAGGCTATACGGGGGATCTTTGTCTTTGTGTCCGGCGTGATGTATTTTCACTCTCGACTTTAATCGGTGCTCCCTTTCTGCGCCACGTCTGGCTGTTGTTTAGCAATCATCGTGCGCGTGCAGCGTGTGCCGACTGAATTCGTATTCACACACGGAGAGTAAGATTGGCAAACGGCGTTTGTTGTCGTCCCACCGGTTTCGGCTTGCAAAGGACTCCTCCTGCAGTCTCGGCAGTCTCTCCATAATGGTGACGATGACGACGACGATGATGATGATGACGACGAGGACATCGGTCATTCATGGTGATGGAGACGCGCGATGATGTGACTATGACGTCACGGTGCTTCCACACGATGAACACCACCTCCGATGAGCATTGCTGGCTACGTACGGCGCGAAAGAAGTTCTACATAATTTAGATATGCGCCGTGCTCCAGGTTGTAATTGAAGTAATTGTGGCGTGGGAGGTGATTGCGAACCCGCTGCCCGCCGTTGAAGACGGACGGCTGTGGGACTTCACGTATCGTAACAATGCATAGGACAACGGCCTCGTAAATGTTGCACTCTCGCCTCCTGGCAATTAGCACGGTAGTGAGCGTTTAATCCTCGCCACTGCCAGGTAATATAATAAAGAACACCGATAAAGATGCCGTTACACCAGTCACAAGTATAGGCCGTGCTGAGCCAGTGTAAAAAAAAAAATCACGTGACTACCAAGTTCCAAATTGTCACATTAGGTGCAGATTAATTCCTGTTCGACATTTATGCTCGGATAAACCCCCCCCCCCCCATCAAACGCATCTATCAACAATAGTGACGATGGTCCGAATCAGGTGTCAGGTTAAGCTAGTGCGGGTCCTGTAGCATATGTTACAAAGGGGCCCTAATGAAAAAAATTACAAAAATATTTAAACATTAACACGGAGGCTTTCGCGACCAATTTCATCGAGAGGGTTTTTTTTTGGGTTGGATCGCGTAAATATGACATTAGTGATTTAGAAATGTGATTTAGTTCGCTTATATTGTGCTGTGTTCTCCTCTTATTAAAACATAAATGTTTAATTTGCATAGTAAAGTAATTGTATTGTTTCATTTGCTGTGCAGCCAGATAATACGACAAATCGCTAACCTTAAACACCCAGTCGTTCATAAAAGTTGAAGGCGGTATAGTACTATAGTAGTAGAGCAAGTGCAGAATCACTGAACCGGAATTGATAGCTTGAAAGCATTTAGCGCGGGGCCCTTGAAAGTGCGGGGCCCGTAGTTGCACATGTAGCTACTTTGGCTGCTGGGATAATCCGGCACTGGTCTGAATGTAACCGCGATTGCACCGGTCTGTCTCGTCACTTGAAACAGAGACGATGCATCCGCGTGGGCTAGCACATGCTTAAAGAAAGGGTCCTCCCTAGTACAATGTGTACGACTCGGTAGGGTGACAACTACTAACACACACAGGGAAGGAACGTCGTGGGAAACCACGGAGGCACTTGTGCCGAGCAGGCTGGAGTGGTGGAGGCAATGCTTCCCAGCGGAGGCATACGCAAGTGTTTTGTTTCGTAACACGTGACCAAATAATAAACACACGCATATAACGCAGCGACAAATGGAGTATTATAAAATCACCCGTAATGTGACAGATCTCGGAAGCTAAGCAGGTTTGAGCCTGGATAAGTGCGTGGATGGGTGACCACGAAACACGGAATGTGTTTTCGTATAAACACACAGTATGCGGCACTGCGTGGTGATGTTGTGGGCAGTAGAGCAACATCCATATTTGTACTCTGCATTATCTGGTCCCTCCTCGATGCTTCCCACCTTCAAGCCACGACTGACCCAGCGGTCTGTGGAGTGTAGTGGTCGAATAACCTCCACGACCCGCAACGGTGTGGGGGGGGGGGGGGCTTCATCTGCCAGTGAAATGAAGACGAACACTGCTGTATGTACGTATGTTAAACTTCCTTCGCACCGTACGTAGCCACCCGTGCTAATACATGAAATCCTTATTCCGCCACGTAATAAATACATCTACCTATACTGCGAATTTCAGGCCGGAGGTTGTGTCAGTGGGTCAGTGCAGAGCTGCGGGTGTTTACATATCGATGATGACATAAACAAACTGTCGTTTTATAGAGAAGTTCCCGTGTACCCTTGTAGGTACACACACACGCGTCTTCCGTCTGTAGTGGCCTCCACCGACTTGCGGGTGATGAGGAAGTGAACGAGAGAAGTACCACGGTCTCAGGCGTCGATGAACCTATGACCTTTGCTTCGTGTTTGGCTTCACGAGCAAACGGGGGAGGGGTGGGTGGGATGATGCTGGAGTCATATGCAGTCCGTTTGAATGTTAAACCCAGAGGATTAACAAGGCAAATGATGAGTTTTAATTAGAAATGCACCAGCGTACAATAGCCTACATTTAAATTGGCTCTTATTAAGCTGGTGGCCAGCACAAGTTGTAGCTGGGAAACGTACGCAAGAATTGTTGGAGTCATCTGAACGTGAAAATTATGCTGGTGTTGAAGTTGCTTTGCTCTACGAGACCACCTCCTTTGAGTATATAAAACTATCATTTGTTACCTGCCCTGTGTGCATTGCTTCTAGGCAGGTGAATCGCCTTTCCAGCTCGAGGGAGCACTTGATTCATGTACCACCAGTGCTAAACTGCTACAGGGCAGTGCATTTTGTCGGATATTAGATTTTAAAAATAAATTTTAGACTCAATTTCTCATTTGATTTCGTATTATCGTATTCAAACCTACCATATACATTGTTATAATATTAATTATTTACAAACCTAAATATGCGATTTTTTTAGTAACTTAAATATTAATGATTGATTTTTTTTACAAAGTTCCACTGGTAAAACCATGATGAAAATCTAATAAAAATATATGTTTTTACCAAATTAAGCAAAAAGCGCCATCACGTATCACCAAAATAATGTCTCGCAACGCCACTTGATGGGAAAGCACGGAATTGAAGTGACATTCCCGTAGCATCACATTTTGGGACCAATCCAAATTCTGTGGAATCGTGCACCTTAACACATCACCCCAGGCATAGCGAGGGTGGGATTTGGCACAAAATTGTTGCTTTTCAAGCGTTAAGCTGCGCCTTTGCCTCACGGAAATGAGGGCTCCAGTGAGCGCAGTTCTGCTGGTGCAGGAAACCATCAGAATATTGCCTGCTGTCTCTTTGCAAGACTCGGTAACAAGTGGCAGTGCCTGTGGATTAACCCTAGAAGTCTGGGCCTATTGGTGCCAACGTTACCCTCGCATATAGCGTGTCCGCGTGTATGCTTGTGCGTGTGCACATGCGCACAATGTTGTCGATTCTTGGAAGCTTAGCAAGACTGGGCCTGTGAAGTGCTTGGATGGGCGACTGCCATGCATGACAGGTTGGCATCGGCTGCATCTGGGCCATGCTGCGTTGCGGTCAGCAGAGGGCACTGCAGCAAAAATATTTGTTGTACAGTACTGTGATTCTGTGTTCCCGTGTCTCCGCTCCCCACCTTCACGTATTTGCACTGAGCAATGTGGTGAAGCGCGGTCAATAACCCCCCACGACCCACGTGACATAGGGAGGCCCTCATCCATTAGTGAACTGACAGAAAAGGCAGTACATTGTACATGCTGTGTGTGCGTGTGCATGCACATTGACATATAAATTGACAGGTAGTATATCAGGCCAACTCGGTTCTAACTCGAGGCCACACACACACACACCACAGTCGGAATTGTGGTGTTGGGACCTCTGTGTTGGCCCACCCTGCGGTTGACTTAGCCTAAAACGAGTAGCTTACCTGTTGCGGAGGGGTTTATATTGTGGGGGGACGGAGGAGGTCGTGAGTAAGTGGGTCCCGGTTACATCAGCACACCGTGTGTGGTGATAATAGGTACTCGCTAAAACTAAACTATTCTAAACTATTTTTTTTTATTTTACCAAG